TATATATATATATATATATATATATATATATATACTTGTTCTAACCCCATCTAAGCGCTCCAATTTATGCACTTATGGTGATTTCCAAAATAGATTTGGTCCCACAATGCCTTTTGATTTTCCATTGTAAGTTGCCCAAAACTCACATGGTAGCTTTCAAACTTTATAGTCAGTTTCCAGTTGACTCGCAGAGGTTACGGGTGATGACGAACGGTTGGAAGTGATGCAACAGGACCGCAGAAGACCTGAGCAGAATCCCTACGAATGACACTAGTTTTTCTCAAAAACCTGTCCAGGACAGGCTATAATGCTACTCTACTAACCCGTCGACAAATATATACTTGTTTTCTGTACTATATATTTCATGTTGTGAATAATACTCATCATCATTTGTCCATACACTGTAATCCTGTAAGGTTGTTTCAAGTTTCAATAAATTTTCCCCATATCGAAGCTGAGCTTATATAACCTACCAATGCAACACTGGCACATCAATAAGTACAGTCATCTTACGTGACAGCAGAGCCTCACGTCTAAATCGATGACTAGTAAGGATGAGCGATTTCAAAAGCTGGGAATTTTTGGCTTCTCAAATTGCTGTTCCCGGAAGGCATTTACAATCAAAACTGAATTCCTAACACAAATATCACGACCCTTAAGATGGGTTTTCTTTACTTGGTTCTTCTTGTAGGAGCGGTGCGCAGCATTTATTTTTCCAAGGAAGTATAGAAAAATGATGTCACATTTTATGACCAAGTTTGTTTTCTTCTATGTACTGGACATCCGCCTGGTTTCACGCAGAAAACAACAGTTCTCACAGAAATGATGTCCTCAAACCTAGTTCCTGGTTTCAACTCAAAAGGGTCTCCTTCGAAGTGCTTCTGAAGTGGTCATTTACTCCTTCTTTCAAAAGGACTGAGTAACGTTTTGACTAAAGCCATAGATTGAATCGGCAGATGATATCGGAAAGCTCTCTCTGTTCAAACAAAGAATTAAAATGACCATGCCTGACCATGCGATTAGTTTTAATTGTTTACCTTACTCCTCTAGCCTCAACGCGCACAGAGCATACTTTCACTATTTTTGCATATGTGAGATGTTGGTTCGAACGAAGTACCATGTTTTATTCTGTTCACAATGTCTGCTACATACTGACTGTCTGCACACATAAAGCAGTTCGGACTCTCTGAGCCGACTGACCAATCAGTGTTTGTTTTGTTCAAAAACCATATTTGCCGCCGTTATTTTGATCACATCGTTAGATCTAAGAGGACCTACAGCACCTACTAGTTGGTTGCTCCACTGCAGCAGAATGTTGCCTAGGAATCTCCATAAGACAGATTCCACTTCCTAAAGGTATATGGAGAGAGGAATAGTTTAGTAAACAGCCGGCACACCGAGTGGCCATTTGACGCTGTTTAGTATTTAACTAACCTAGAGCAGTTCGTTTGAATGGTGGCTGAGCCGACACACCTGACAAAGGAAGCTATTTCCCCAGTATGACTCGGGAAAACAATGAAATGTTTTTTCCATCTAGTGTTTCGACATTGTCTTTATTATGCGTGCATCACCGAAACACCTAATTTCCTTGTCTAACTTGCAGGAATTAAGCAACATCTGGACAAAGAAGTTGCTTTGGCAAAACAACAGATGCTGGCGTCCTTTATTAACCTGAGCAACACCAGAGCCTTTGAGCAGCCTGCACTTCCTCAACCTTATTCCTGGTGTTCCAATATCCACACGAGTGTTTCATCCGTATGCAATACCTTTCCAGTGGCTCCACTGACTACCATTGACAACCGCAGTGGCATTCTTAACCAGAAGCGGTGTGAAGGCATTCAGACAGGTTCGCTAAACCTTCTACCAACCTCGCTTTCATCTTCTCACCCATCCACACTATCGATGACTATGATGCACTTTCAAAACGGACTTATTTTCCCACAAAATCCAGGAGTGATCCCCCAAGATGCTGTTTCCTCTGGTTCTGCTGGAACCTCAGGATCACTTATTGACCGGGGTCACGATGAATATCGAGGGCTTATCACAAGTGACACAGGTAGGTATTTGCGAGCTCTTCAATTCAGCAGTCGGTTGTTTTTGCTCACTTACCATACTTGGCTAACTCCTCTAGCAGATTGATTGCACCAGGGCGCGGTTTTACACTCCATTGCTTGATTCTATTCATAAAATTGTTTGTAATTCATAAAACCTAATTTTATGATGGAATGAAATGCGACCATACTGCAAATGAACAAATTATAAACAGGTTCCCTTAAGCTACCATTTGGTTGTTGAAGCAGTTCTACACCAACTTTGACTGAACATCGTTCTCATTTTTCTGACAGTCCCCCAAGATGCGCGCTCCAAGAGGAATTCCGACGCGTTGTTTGAGAATCATCGCAATATTCGGACCAAAAAACGGCTCCAGGCGCGACGAAGAGTTGGAGCTACTAGCATGGACCTTATGCTTTCAAGCAACACAGCACTACAAGCAATAGCTTCCGTTCTTCAAACAAAAACTTCAGCGGCCGGATTTTCAGTACCTGTTACTGCCTCACCCACAACACCTTGGAATCAGCTTCCTATGAATTCTGGTTCACAATCTGAGCATCCCCTTCAGTACACTAAACAGGAATGTCCCGTAAATGAGAGTTTGATGCCTCTTCAATTTTCAGGATTCCAGAGACCTATTGGGCATCTACCCGAAGCCATATCCTGCACAGTTTCTCCAGTCCAAAGTGCAAAGTTGCTTTCGCAAACAAAGTACCCAGCCAAAGTAGGGGAAGCTTTGGCGAAGACATCGGATCAGCCCACATACGAAGGCGAAATGCTCACAACCAGTCGGAATTATATAACAGCGGCGCTGGAATATTTTAGGTTACTCAGCCAACCAATGCAGTATCCTAATGATCCATGGCTGCGAATGCTACCACAAATTTCCTCACGACCGATGCGGTCAACAAACATGAGTCCAGTAATGGTGCACACACAACTTCGCAGTTCGTCTGGATCAAACACAAGTTCCACCGAGGAGGTTGATCTGGCATTATCAGACCTCAAGGAGGGGACGAATGAAGTATTCAAATGTAACAGTTGTACTAAGTACTTTGCCACCTCTCATGGACTGGAAGTACATGTCAGAAGGTAAGTTATCACAGGCTTCATCTCTCAAGTTTTGGTATCAACTAGTTGTACGAAATGAAAGGTCGACTACCTACTTTCACTGAGTTCTTCTCGCTACTGTTTGGCAACATAAGTATAGTTCAGGCAAATGTTGGACCGATTTGGAAAGAATTTCAAACCTTTTCTAATTTATTTTGATCCACTGTGTCTACTCGTAACACTAATAACGCCTTTTGTACGCCCAAATGTCTCACGGTTGAAAGGGAATTACTCGTCATACTCTTGGGAGGCAGAAAAAGATTGAACTTTTGAAGCGAAACAGCCAGAATTACCTTTTGAAAACAATCCAATAAATACAGTACAGTGGCATTTGTTTGGTATCAGAATGAATGGAGGAAAATGCACGGTAAAGGGATTGGTGTGTGGATCTAAAATATAATCTGAGAATTGAGTTGAAATTCACTCAGGTAAAACTGCTACCATGTCGCGCAATCCAGTTTACGAGGAGGTTAGGACCAACAGGCTTGCGGCCACATCGCCACTGGTTTGATCAATCGGTTGGTTCTGTGCTCATAAGGATAATTCTTTTCAGCAGTAGTGGTTACAGGAGCAGTGTTAATGATCAACTCAAAGATGGACCCCTTACAAAAAATTACTCTAGGTGTACTGTTCTTGAAGGAAAGGACTGCACTTTTCGGAAGCTGATGTAATTTAGCACTCTTTGGAAGATATAATATCATACCATCAAGGTGGAATTCAGTTGAGCTCATTAGAGGGGAGAGGTTATGATGATGGTGAGTTGATCACTTCGTACATCTATCGTGTGTGCTTTACTAATCAGAAATACATTCGAAGCTGCTACTGTGCCTCCTAAGTAAGTTCAACCACATGGGCCTGCTGAGGTGACTACTCTGTAGCGGTGTACGTCTGTAGTTAGTTCGTTTTTGGATAGTTACTTCTCCAAGATAATGTTTGTTGAAATTCTTTCGAATCCTCTGTTTCATAACGAGATGAAAACATGCCAACAACGGCCAGTCGTTTTTGTTTTGCTTTGGCAAAAAGTCCGGTGTTACCGGCTTTTAGTTAACTTTAGCGATACCGTAATCATACAAGTGCATTTAAGTTCATACAAAACACGTGAACAAGATCTTCGGTTCTGGAAAATGTTCAGCTTTTGTCCAATGCGTTCTCGAAATTTTAGTTAGATTTAGTGCACTCAAAATGGTTATTTTTGCAACTCGGAGACCACGAAAATCAGTACGAAATTCCAAAAATTGTATCACTGATTGAGCAGTTTAATGCACTTTTCCCCAAAGACAGACCAACTTAGACCGTAAGATTCTCGAGGGGTTGGCTTTCATTCTAGTTGGTGGTACAACATACCTAAAGGGGAACACTGTCGTGTGCTCGCTAGAACAGTGTTCACATTCCGGAAACTTACATCTCAGCGTATAGTTGGGGTGACTTGATACTTTTCGGTCGCTTGGATTTTACTGTCTATGCAATGTATTTTCATTTCCATCACCCTTATCACCTCTGGTGGCTTTCAGTCACGGAGACTTGGGTATTCGCTGCAATATCGAGTCCAAAATGGGACAGACTGAACACTTAGTGGGCAGCTAAATTGCTGTGCATACATGTAACATCTATAGATAGTTTTTTGGCAATTCCCACAATACACACGTACGGGTATGCATTCAAATATGACGTTACAAACTAAGTTCTGCAGAATATGCGCTTTTGTTTTTTTTATTATGCACTAAAACCAAAAAATGTATTGATCCCAACGACAGCTACGACAGAAAAAAATGAAGGTAAAATTAGGAATTTTTAAATTCCTGACCAGTTACACTTTCTGAACGATTTATCTATCTTTTCCAGTCATTCTGGTGCAGTGAAGCTGTATTCGAACAGTCTCTGAAACAAAATATTTTTCAGCTCCGAAATAAATTAACTTAAAGTGACAAGGTAAAAATAAAAGTTCATTAGTGATCTGACAAGAAAAGTAAGATGATGAGATGACGCACGTCAAAGTACGATTATTGCCAGCGCTGTTCATGGGAAAGACGAGGTGACGTATAGAGACTTGACACATTACTGCATACTGTTGTACAACATGACAGTTATTGGATTGTATTGCTTCAGGCTGCTAATTCCCATGTGCTTGACCCAATTTTATTTGACTTATCAAATAATGTCAGAGATTTACTCCATGTCAAAATAGTGACTTCCAAACATGACATGCGGGGAAGTTAGGAAAACATTTCGAGGTAATCTCAGGTGGCCCACGTATAAAACGATTGAGGTCTTGTCCGACCAGTTACATCGAAAAGCTCACACGAGTACCCAAAAAACAACTATGCAGGGAGAAGTGCAAATCCTAATTCACCAGTGCTTTACGGCCAAAGATTCCCACATCTGGTCCATTGTTCACAAAAACAATTTAGACTATTATTGGATGGTTTCCAAAATCAAGACTAAAACTGACCTTTTAATCCTTTGACAAGCTTAGGATGAATAAGAATCGTTCACTCTGGTTTTTCACATCGAATGGTAGTTTGCTTAGTCCGCAACACAAAAATATTTAAGAACAATTGTAACTACTCTGGGTATTCCCAACAGCTTTACCACCAACAGTAGAATTCAACGTACATTCCAATGTATGCGTGAAACGTATTGTTGACTAATCGGGGTATACTTATTTAATATGTGATTTTGTTCTGTAGAACGCACGCAAGTAAACGCCCTTTTGAGTGCCAGCTTTGTCAGAAGAGTTTTGGACACGCCATCAATCTCTACCAGCACGAAGTGATCCATTGTCCAGATCGACATTTTCAGTGTCATGAATGCGGGAAAACCTTCAAGCGGTCATCTACGTTGAGCACTCATCTACTTATTCACAGCGATACTAGACCGTATCCTTGTCAATATTGTGGGAAAAGGTTCCACCAGAAATCCGACATGAAAAAGCACACCTATACTCACACAGGTAAGTAGTGTGTAGATTTCTGGTTCGAATAAGCACACTTACGGTGCGCTCAAGTTCATTTAAAACGTACTCCAATGTTTAAATGCTGTGAGAAGAGTCAGTTACTTGCAGCCATTATTCAAACACCACCCACGAATTCGCTATTTCCTGAAAATCACTTTTACTCGGCTACAGCCAATCCGTATCCTAAAATGATGTTTTTATACTATCCATGGAGAAAGTTAATCCTTCGGGAAAGCACTGCAGCTCTCTTGTTCCCCCTTCGATACCTCGTTGCTGATAGGGAACAACACCAGCAGCTCACCGGCGAAGGTGTGAACTTAGTGGTCACGTTTTGTTGGTGGAAGCAGCAAGCAACTTTCAGTCAGAAGAAGCTAGAAGGTCGGCCGTAAATGACCTGACTGATTTCAACAACCGGACAGCAGGTGTGATCGGACAACTTTGTATGGCTGTTCTTAAGTGTCCAGTTAACGAGTATGTGCCGACACGTCCTGGGATGTCTGATCACTACGAGTCCGGTGTCGACCCCATGGAGATTTCTTCCCTTTGTGGGCATGAGCTGGGACAATCGCGAACGAGCAGTGCAATTAACAGGGAAACCCGCTAACTAAATAAACGTCAGAATTGACGCCTACAACCGAGCCCTAACATAATTATTTCGTTAGAGTCAATGAAGTCACTCCTCCAGTTTCAACAGAACGTGTTTGGACTGTCTCAGGTTAAAAGTGTTGAAATTTCGACGCGAAAATCATACACCGCGACAACTGGATTAGGAAGAGGGGAAATGAATCGAATCAAGAATTTACGGTTTGGCAAATCAACAAGTTTCATTTTTAATGCCACGGCTGGTCGGATATTAGAACATTGGTACCACAATTCTGGAAGTCTCTCGAGTATGGAGCTGGAGGTACTCTGGATGACAAAAAAGTTAGATTGATGCTGCAAATGCTGGGCACCATCTGTGGATTTATTTTGCCGAAACACATCAGAGACTCGAACTTTGAGGAAAATACTTAAACCTTGCCATAAACGTTTTGTGAGCAATCTTTGTTGTTTGAATATGAGAGAAATACTGGTGTCGTCAAATATTCTGACTAGCTTTCGCAGTATGGCCGATGACTAATTCAGAGGCATGGAATTGCTCCAACAAAGAGAATTTAGTCTTCCGTTCATATAAAATGTCTCAAGACGTCGTGGTAACAGCTGCTAAACCTGAAACAAGACGCAGCAACGATGCAACAATCCACGCGAACTGTCGTTCTTGTTATATGCACTAGCAGAAATGCTCCCTCGGAATAAAATCAATGTATATCACTGAATTTAAAATCAATACCCGCTTACCGCTTTCGCAAGAAATGGCAGTTGAACCGTTTTTGCCAACACAGAATCCACACATGTAAATAAATTGGCGGAAATTGTTACCGGCAACAGTATTGTCACTCACAGGGGCGACCCAGCCAACCTCAACATAGTCGTAGCAAACATTCGGTATCATATCTCGGCAGATCGAGGATGGTTACTGCATATTTCCGAGTACATATAACTGACATTTAGAAATATGAACATACGACCAGGTTTGATTTGTTTGGCGTCACCAGACGTTGTGGCCCCAAGACTTAAGAACCTCAAAGATAATTCAAGTGTTCGTAGTTTCAACTTTGGAGATTCAGTGTGGTCTGTAAGTTGGAAGGGATAAACCGATGAATACTCGCTTCTTGTGCAACCCGAAAATACAAGGCTATTTACGAGCTAACTGTCAACGCGAAGACACGCATGTCAGATTCAGGATATGGATCATTATAGCCTGTCTTAATAGGAAAGGCAGCGGCAGACCATTGCTGACGAAGCGCTGTCTTCGGTAGAATTCAGTTACAATCATAATGTAATCGCTCAGCAATAACATCCTCGTAGTGGTCAACTGCCACGGGACCCAAAGATATGAGAAGTTGCGCTGCAGAGTTTGAGTTCGAACCATTGATCTTCTGGTCAACTGATTCCAGCTCCAAGCGCCCAGCTGTTTTGATCTCACTCCAGTTGCTCATCCAAGAAGGATCAAAGGAAGCTTGCTGTTCATTCTATTGACCTGGTACCCAACATGACAGTTGACGAAACCATGAAAACCGCTTTGTAGCATCTGATCATTTGAACGGAATAATATTGGAATGAGACAATGACGTGTGCGCTGACACTCGAGCTGTCAGTATGTGTACCCACATCAATTAACCTGTCAAACCTGGGTCCCTATATCTTGCAAATTTACTTCCCCCTTTTACGGAGGTGTAGCTATGAAGGCTAAACTTTGACTGGCGATAGTCAAACTGCGAAACGGAAAGGCTGCCGGAGAAGACCGATTATTTGCCGAAATGTTCAAAGTGAAGTATTGGGGGGCACATGTTCTGACAGTTTTCCATCTGAGTTACAATGTCTGGAAAGCCGAAAAGCTCCACATCAAAACCATATGGTTGCATAAAGGGAAGAGAATTTGGCGTCAGTCAATAAACTACTCTTCTCTGTAATGCAGGCAGAATCCTGGCAGGTTGCCTGTTCAACTGGATGAATGATGATGCAATGGAAGAAGATGCACATGAACAACAGTGTGGATTCAGCAACTCGCAGTAAAAGTAATAGCAAATTCGTGCACTATCTTATAGAGGGTAAACTCTTCCATGTGTGATACCCCATGAATGCGACAATGATCTATACTGTGCTTTTCGTGGATGAGATTCAGTTGCGGGGATGCCACGAAAAGTCACAACAACGCTTCCAAAACATCACATTCTGAATGACCACAAACATCTGTCACTTATAAGGTGTTTGAGGTTTGCAACAGCAGACAACCTACATTCAAACTAGAGGCCATGACACGGTGTTGTGAACAGCACCTCCACCTCAGGGGTATCCAGGCTAGAAACTTTGCAGTCGGTGCTAAACCCCATTGTCGGATTACCAGAACGGGCTCTGTATTCGGCTGTTTGCGCGGAAACGTTTAGAACAGCCCTAAACTGCACGTGAGCGCTGAGTTTGTGGTCTAAGGAGCTGTTGTGTCGTTTTCACCAGTACATGAAAACCACAATTGGACGCTATACCTACTGGAATTTAGAATGCCAAAGTCCTTCACTTTTACTGACTGCGCAAGATCCATTGTATCCATTGGTTGGCTTGTATTCCGTCCACTGAGTTCCTAGAGCAAACAAGGCTAATGAAGTCGGCTGCTTTTCGATGCACAACCGGCTATACTGAACCGATTATCACATTACGTTGGACTTCATTTAACGCCATGTAAAGAACGGTATTTGAACCTGAAGATGACCAGGATTCTGCCATCGCGACAGGTTCTGCGTAACTTCGTAATTTCAGGACTCATATATCGGAAAGATCCAACATATTCTGACGAAATGTTATCCGTGCATTTTTCATGAACACAAGCATGTCAGTAGAACTGTGGCATCGTGTTGACTTGAACAACAGTCACCTGAGTCTGTGCAGCCTGCGGGTTCACAGCCCAGAACAGCATTGGACTCATCGGTCACCCGATTTACTCGTTGTGAACCACCACGAAAGCTGGTTGAAGTAACCTTATTCACATATCTAATTAGCACGTGCTTGATTCTAATAGCAAACTTTATACGTTTCTACATTTAAACTGGAGCGTTGTGATAATGAGCTCCACTGAGGAAATAATACGGGGACAATTAATTGGATAGGCACGGAGTCCTTCTGCAATATGAATGGAATAACGAATGAAGCCAGCTGGCTAAAATCAAAGGAGCAATACTTTTGTTCGATGTTATGTCGTTTTGCTTAAGCCGCCTGGTGGTCCACAACCGTCCTATGTTTGTTGCCCGGCTGACCTCCTTTCCGGGTCTCCACGTACCGTCATATTCGACTCCGGGCACTGTTCATGGCTTGACTTCTCTGGGCAAGTGTCCAGCGGATCAACCAGCAGATCTATTTCCGGTGCTAGTCGATCATCTGCATGCACGTATGTATAAGTCTTTGGCAGTTATGTACTTATAACCAGTGGTAAAATTAAGGATTTTATCCAGGTGCTGTGCGGTTTATTTCTGAGAAGTAACTCTCTGCTATGGTTGAATGTAGGGTTAGCTGAGGTCGAATAGTTTTTTTCTAGTCCTCAACCGAAATCCTTGTAACTTTGGGTTACATTATATGACCAGACTGCTTGTTTCATCGCATTTTTTATATATGTCTCACTTACCCAAGATTTCATCTTTTCTAGGTGAGAAACCCTATGTCTGTCTGCAATGTGGAAAGGCTTTCAGTCAATCCTCAAACCTAATCACCCATTCCAGGAAACACACTGGGTTCAAGCCGTTTTCTTGTCTCCACTGCATGCGTGCTTTCCAACGCAAGGTCGATTTACGCCGTCATGTTGAAACACAACATGAAGCGGATGAAAAAGTCCACAATTTTGCCTTAAATGAAGAGGAAAACCAGAAGTCCTTTTTGAGTCAGGTGGACATAAATGGAACGCGGACAGCGAATAGCCCTGAAGACATGCCAGTGCCGCTCACCACGAAGTCGTTAGGCAGCCAGTCCGAAAAGCCTGAAGCACCGAGCAATCCACAGATTGATTCAGAAAATTTTACTAACCAGCGCAAACAAAGTGGACGTCCATCTGAGGTTACTTCCCCCCTTCACAGCAATCTTAGTACGACGGACAATATTTCGAAAACAAAGGTCTCAGAGTTGGAAAAACCACTGCTTTATTCAGTCGCACTTCTCTTGAGAACCGAAAGCACTTAATGAATTGCCCACCCCGCCCCAACCACTTGAGATCTCAACTCAGTCAAAAGCAGCTGCCGATAGCTACGAGTGTCTAAGAAAGAACTAGTTTGAACTTTATTACCTCAACAAACGAAATTTATTTTGACTTTACATTATGATTTCGATCGATATCTGTATGATGAATTCGAACGCATAGGTAATTCTCATCAGTTGATGGTTTCACTTTACTTATGCATACATGCTGAATTATCTCATTGTAAAAATATGCGTTATTGGTACTGATGTGGAGAAGACGCACAAGAAATGTAGAGAAACTTCCGGCAAAGTGTCGAAACATCCGAGTACAAAGGGTTGCATGGTGGAAGAATGATTTGTTAGATGTCAAATAATACCTATTATAAATCAAGCAAACTTTTGTCCGAAGGGTTAAACACCTATTCGAATAGCTATGTGAACTGATCGTGGGTTCCTCCGTCCATACAGATGCAAATTTGGTCTGGAGGCCTTAACTTACACACCAAATTGTCCATTAAAAACTCGGTGTAAGGCTCAGGTTACTCTGGACATCGTATGAGCTTCATAACTGTCAGGCGTGCATGGGCACGGCTATTCCGTCTGCCGAAATGGTTTCAGCAGCCTTGTGAGTAGTGTTGCTTGAATAAAAATAAATCAATATATCTTCTGCTGCGTGCTGCTTTGATAACGATGAGTAACTGTAAAATTCGCACATCTAACAATTTTTGTCTCCTGTTTTACTGAAATACGATTACGTGACTTTGGAATGCGCTCCACCGAGGCTTCTCTCAAATCACTATGTTAATAACCATACCGGACGTAGACGAACCTCCGAAAATTACTATTTCGGGAAAGTACATGAAAGCACTCTTGTGAACAACACACTGGTGTACGATCTCCAGTAGACAGAGGACGCCTTCGGGAGAGGTCAATCGCCCTACCAAATTTCAACGTTTCCTCTTTGTTGGTTCATTTTTTGTAGCTAATATGTCCTGAATAACCAATAGTAAGGTATCACGATGCCTGCATGAACCGAGGAGCTAGTACCGTAATTAAGGGTCCGTTTTGCACTTATTTTGTGCTAGGGCTCTTGAGCTTGTAGATTTTTCATTCTTCGCTAACCTCCTATTCATAAAGTGCCGTCTGCTATGACCCTTTCACATAAATAAGAGTAAAATGTGAGTGAGCGATGTCAACTCTTACCCATTTCATCCTCTTCAAATGTCGGACCAAGTGCACGCATTTATTCCGGTCATCTAAATTCAACAGGAAGTAGTTCGTTAGGAAACACACAGTTACATACAGATCAAACCGACTTGAGGTGTAAACTTGCGAAAGTCCAACCTGCGCTTCTGATGGATGCTATCCCGGTCTTCACGCGTTTAGTTTGCCCAACTTTTCAAAAACATGAAACTTTTTGCACACAGGGACCCTTTTTTTCCTCTTGGTCCAGGGGAATTATAAAGACGCGTTTATAACGGGAAAAAAGGCATTCTTTTTTCTCCAATCTGTAAAAAATGAGCTTGATCATAGCAAGGAGATCACATCAAATTGAAAAGTGTTGGGTGTTAATGGATTGTAGAGTTTCTCATGAGTCTTAGATATTTTGATACCTTGTTAAGCCATTGTTCGCAAACAAACTTGAGCGAAATGTTCAACCTTTAATGCCATGCAGATTCCAGTGAACGTTGTTTTTTTTTTAACTTTTCGCTCTGCTACAAGGCGTTGTATCTAACTGCTGTTCGCACTCCAGCGCCTGGTGCCGAAAAAGACTTGCCAATAAAAACACACAAAGCACAAAGTTTGTGCTCTTGCGACTTTATGATATTATATTTTGCGGAGGACGGACCACACACGATAGAGCAGACGGTTTTTTAACTTTCGCTCTGCTACAAGGCGTTGTATCTAACTGCTGTTCGCACTCCAGCGCCTGGTGCCGAAAAAGACTTGCCAATAAAAACACACAAAGCACAAAGTTTGTGCTCTTGCGACTTTATGATATTATATTTTGCGGAGGACGGACCACACACGATAGAGCAGACGGATGGCCTGAATAAAAGATCACTAAACGTTCCGTACAGTATATCCTGGGTGGAATTAGCTATGGCTTCTTGTGCTCCGGGTAAGAAAGTGATTCTCACGAATTTGTTGAATCCCTTCAGAAGACGTAGCTCAGGTCTTCACCAGGGATACACGGTAATCATCGATTATTGGTGACTGATGTCATTCATCAGGCTGATAACTGGTTGCGAACTGAATCAATACTCAGCTTGAAACTGCTGGAACTTTTTCAAAAAAATTTTGGTGAAATATTAAGTTAAAATATCGCCCTTGACACAGTAAAATTTGAACTTGAGATAACGAATTAGAATTTTTAAGAAATTCTCGGGTCGTTATAGCGGCGTCAGGGCAACAAACTACACTTATCAGTGTACAATTCTACTGACTAACCTAAAAATGCTCCCTTGTAACAACATTCTTGCATGGACCCTATTACACCATCGGTTGAGAATGTTTAGATGAGAGCGTGTCGCACAACTTATATGTGAAAATCGTTCTTTTAAAAGCCAGTGGCCATTCCCCAGAGAGCAGTCTCAAATCCAAATGAGGCAGTTTACAGTCCCTGATTGAATCACGCTCCTGCTGTTTTATTGTTTTATGCCTTTGCAAACACATGGCGGTCAAACTAGATAATTGCATAGGCGTGGGCGTCGAAACGGAAACATGAACTCTTGCAATCCCACTGAAATTTTATATCCGAAAATTTCAGCGCTCCGGGGGCACGAGGTTATCTGAATCGCACAAATTTTAGCCCTGGAAAGTGAGGAAATTCTATCTTACGAGGCAGTGATACCCTTAGATCAAACATGCTCGCGGGTATGTTAGCGAAAAACATTGCAGTCTGGCTAGGCTTCTGCAAATAAATTTCTCATCGGTTAGTGAAATAATGGTGCAGTCTTTCAGCGCCACAGTTATATTTGGAATGGAAATAAAATGAGCCTGGAAGCGATTATTCATGGCGAAAAAAAGAACTTCAGGCTATTCGTTGGTAAAAAGAGCAACCCCAAAACTAGCATAAGAGCTGTACGTAACTGATAGCATGGTGAACGTGTTTTTGTTAGGCTCAATAGATATCTTTTTTAAAGGTAACTACTCACAAGTTTGCTGAAAACTCTTCGACAGCCCACGACCGGTTTTACCCTTCTTGGGGCTCATCAGGCAGGCGCAGCTCCCGAGTTTCCGTCAACGTAATGTTCTACTTGAACCCAAATTGGACTCTTTTCGAGAAATACACTCATTTGCAAATCAATTTGGTCTTCACGAGAGACACAGTCACTTGTAGAATATCATAAACAAGAGATTCAGTTGAGTCACTCGTGAAAACCGAATTCATTTTCAAATGAGGCTACTTCTCAATAGATCTTATTTATCTGCGAGCTAAAGATCTTTCTCTTGGTACAACCATGGGAAAGTTTGACTGTTGTGGGTAGATGGGAAAGGTGCTGATTATGTCTTTTTGGATTCCGTTAACCCTTGATTCGGACTTCAGTCGGTAATCTAATCATAGATGTAACTCTGCGAATGACTGCCATTCTCTGCAGTTGCCCCAAAATAACAATTCCGAACTCATTTGAATGTATCTGTTGCTCACGCATTCGAAAACCAGTCGACATTGTTCTAGAGGTCGCAAACTTCTCACTGTGTAACGAGAAAGCTCATCAAGTTTAGGCGCCTGGTCGACTGGACAATTATCCCAATGTGCTATACGGAAGCCAAACTCCCGACCATGTGGAAGTGGCTATATTTTGTTGTTTCACGCGTCTGCCGCTGCTTTGTCGCTGCAAAACGTAGTTGTATGATTCCCAAATCGGTTTGCTCTTGCTGATTCTCTGTGGACGGGTTAATTCCATAGTCGATAGTGGACAGCATCCTTGCTGGCACTTGTAGAACTTACCGAGTCCAATTTGGTTTTCTATAATAACCGGTAAATGAGATGAACGAAGATGCTCCTTGTCATGAATAAATTGTTCTTGCACAAGACTGCCGCTGAAAGGAGCTACCAACTTCGATATATTTTGCTAACCAAGTCAATTGGTTTTGAAAATACACCACCTATGATTCGGCTATTTCAGATTTTAACAACAGTACACTGTGTGAGAATTCAGCTGACGAACTGGTACAAGGTTTCAACGATTGGTACTACTCCGGACAAGTATTTAATCTATTCTACTGTTTCAGTAACAGGTGCGACGATTTCCCTCTGAGAGGCATCACTGTCCTATTGTTTAAAAATCCTTCCATATATTATTGCTTGTGGGCCGTGCGTGGGAAAATTCCACTGTATAACAGTAAAAGACCCGTATAACACAGCTGCTGGCAAATAGATCATTTCACTCACAGGGAAAATATTGTGCAATTCCACCTGGCGCCCTCTGGAACAGAAGATAACAGGACCCACAGAAGTATGGATGTATTTTGCGTACTGCTTTATTCACTCTGCGGTACCCATCCCTCCCCCCACCACACACACTGAAGGATGTGACAAAACACACTTGGTCATCTGAAGCTAGACGGAGTATGGGTGGAAGCAAGGTGACAACTTGTGCATCTGAACAGCACTCAAGACCAACAGTAACAACCAAAGTGGAGCACGTTTAAAGCTGAAATCCCCGTTTATGGTGGCAGTTTGGAATCGCACACGCGCATATGTAAGTGTGCGTAAGAAATTGGGAGGCGATGGGTCAAGCAAGACAGAAGGGGTGAGCAGGTTTGACAAAAGCGGGCGAAAACTGCAGCTGTTCGAATTCCCACACGATGTTTCATCAGTCTCACTTGATAGGAAGGCCGAAGGCATTGGAAAGAAGCATAACACTGTTCACTGGATTGGGTAGAAACCGTAGTCTGTTCGGTGGTGAGGTGGTGGTGGTGTCGACCAACCATACACGTCCAGACTTGAACGATAAACCAAATAACGGGGCGTGTCTTTATCGTCTGTGAATT